CCCCACAGCCTCTGGGTTCCTGAGCAACACCTTTAACCCCACACTGCTCCCCGGATGCCACACAATGGCAGCCCACTGCTCCCCAAATGAATAAGTTAAATGCAGAGTTCATTTCTCCTTTGTGAGATTAATAAAGTTCAGTTATTGTGGGGGAATGGTGGACTAGTGGTTAGGGCATCTGAGTCTCTGAGCAAGACCCTTAACCCCACACTGCTCCCCAGGCGCCGCACAATGGCAGCCCACTGCTCCCCAAGGGGGATGGGTTAAATGCAGAGTTCATTTCTTTATTATGAGATCAATAAAGTTCAATTATTGTGGGGGGCTGATGGACTAGTGGTTAGGGCATAGAGTGTGGAATCCAGAGGTTCTGATTTCGAACCCTACTCCCATAGCCTGCCACTCTGGGTCCCTGAGCAAGACCCTTAACCCCACACTGCTCCCGGGATGCCACACAATGGCAGCCCACTGCTCCCCAAGGGAATGTATTAAATGCAGAAAGTAAATTTTTTTGCTTTGTGACAGTGGAATGACAATAAAAGCCAGAGAAAAATAAGATAAAAAACAAAAGAGCAGCAACAATAAGATGATTTTCAAACTTCAGTTTCCCTGAAAGTGACACTAGAAATAATGGCAGAATAATAAACCTGTTCTTATATTTTTGTGTTTATCATCTTTTCTTTATGGCATTATATAAACTGAGCTATATGTAGATTATATTAATCTGTGCAGTAATTTGAATTCTTTGAGTATTTCTTGGGAGATAAGTAAAAAAGAAACACATTACTATTCTTCAGGGATTGTATTACTGCATCCTGTATAGTTTCCTGCAGTGCTGAGTTCAAGTTGTTCCAGTGAACTGATGTCTACCATAACATTCAGGAGACTTAGGAAACAAAGGTTTAGGCCGCAGAATGGCTCAGTGTCAAGGAGTAGTTCTCTGAAAAATTCTCCACTAACAAAGCTTCCATTGTGCCCCAGCAGACCCTCAAATTAGCAGCAGGGGAGAATGCATGCTTAACTGGGCCTGACAGCTCCAGCAGTCTCCCAGAACTCTCCCCCTCTCTCTCTCTCTGTCTGTAGAAAAAAAGCAAATTAGTGTCAATGTTTAGGTAGTTAGATTTCAAACAATACTAATAAAACTTTCCTTGCCCTAAATATGCCTTAATCTGAGGATGGATTAGACTGCAGCACATAGAACTATTAGAAGGAAAGAGATCCCTGCATTGATTTATTTAATGTACTCAGTCAATGAGCTGTTTAATTATTCTTTAATTTTCATTTGCTTAATCTCAGATTTTAATTACACTTTTACCTTTTTTATAAAACCAGCATCTATAAAAACCTCAGAGATGAAGTGTAATTTGTGAGTCAGTAAATTGAGAGATTGGAGTGTGTCTTCCTGCATGTATTTTCAAATTAAAACTCACTTTCCCCTCTAAAACGCAAAGACACTCAGGGTGGTTATGTTGGTTTATATGGTGCTGACAGTTCAGCTGTTTGTTTTAGGTTGGATCCATCAGTCCAGTTTCTTCCATTTTTGAAAGCGAAGTAAAGGTGGTCAGTGGAGGGAAATCTACACATCCCTCATCCTCCAATGCATCCTGCAGGATCCCAGTCTGAGGGGGACACAGTCGCCTTCATTAAGTTCATGTTCTCATCTGGGGTTTCCTTCATCTGGGATATACTTGGAAAATCTGCAAATGGTGTCGGCCTGATTAGATGATAGAATCAGCTCAGTTCAGCTAAATCCTTCAGTTTTTACTCCAAGACCACCCAGCATGATGGAGGTTCTCAAAGAATAAAGCAAACCTTTGTTGGAATGTATGTTAACTTGTGTCTGTTTGTATTGATCCATTTAAAATGGTCATGGGTGACGAGGATTGTTCCATAAACACTTCCGCTGAGCAATAACTCTCCGTTTTGAGCATTACCATGGAGGGATCGCCATATTAATGACCGTTCCAAATCATGTACTAGGTAGGGTGAGGGACCAATCAACCCTTAAATAGTGCATGGCTGAAACCCAAAATTGCCCCCTTAAGCACTAACACTCTGCGCGTTCCCACGGAGGGTCCGCCATATTAAGGGCCATCCCAAACCACATAGTGGGTAGGGCGAGTTGACCGTTCAGCCCTTAAATATCAAGTCTGCATCAATGCAAACTCCCTGGACTTTGGCTGCGGGTGTAACTGCAAACTAGTGGAGGAGGAAACACGTCCATTCAAATGTAAGTTCCACTGGTTTGCTGCATCTTCATCACACTGTCAGAAAATCACAAGTTAGGAAAAAGAAAAAAAAAACATCATTAATCCCTAAATGAAGTAGTATTATTTGACTGGATAGATTTATTTGTAAAAAAAAAGGGCACATTTTTGAAGTTATGTCAACTGTGCCCCAGAGCTACAGCTTTGAACATGCAACATCTCCATGTTGCCATAGGAACAACTGCTTTCCCTTTCCGTTGGAGGGGAGAGGCCGTCCCATTTATGTTTATACCCTTATTTACAATCCTGGTGCCTTCCATAGGTGAGAGTTCATTGGGAGTGACTCTTGGTAGTTAAGGGGTAGTGCTTAGGGGGTAGTTTGGGATTCAACCAAAGGATCCTCTTCTCCTTCCTCCCCTTCCTCATGATTCCTCATGGAGGTTACTGATATCGAGTTGCTCCCCTTTTTGCTTTATCTCCTTCTGGTATAGACTTATAAAACTCAGACACACCCTCAGAGAAGTCTGTTAGTTTCCCTTAAGGACACATAAATAAGAGTTATTGGTAAAAACAAACTGATAATCTGTCTTAGAGCTGATCATTTATCATGACATTTAAACAGTAAGTCAATATTTTTGTAAAGAGATTTTGGACAGGACTGCAGGTCGTATGGATTTCATGAGATGCAAAATCATTTGCTGTGATATATTTGATCAGCAGCCATATTTTATTTTAGATCCGTCTCATAACCTGAAGCCTTTTATCCTTTCTTTTAACTTTCTATGATATGGTTTGATAGAGCAATCTGTGGTAATTCAGCGATGAAGTGATAAAGTTTTGTGTTTTATGTTATGCTCTTAATGGAGGGTATAAGTCAGGGGCGCATACAAACACAAAAAGTCGTAGGGAAGCAGCCATTCCAATGGTTGCAATTCCGAATTCTCACGAGTGGTGCACAACTTTACACCAGTATATAAAGGGAATGTGATTGGTTGTTTATTAGGGGCGGGATTGTTGTGGAGGAAGGTTTGTAAGCATGTTTGGTTGTGGCCGGTTTGTTGGAAGCATCTTGCTAACCAGTTAGCAACTTAGTGCTAGCACGTTCCCAATGGGAAATTCCATTGGGAC